CCTAACATATATATGGCTGTGCCCCCAACCCACAAAAAAATCTTGACATCCGATTTTTAATTTTATTATTATCATCATTATTATTACATGTATTTCATTTGCTTGTCAAGAATTTTTCATACTTTGTGCTACGTTGTGCTTCCAAATTGAAATTGCTTCCTACAGGTCTGGTATATACTTTGACTGCAGACCAAGAAAAGACAGTATATAGCTTACAATAAAAAAGGGGACCTAAGACTGATTGACGGTTAAGTTTTACATCAGCAAGCAAATTTCCTTCAAGAATTTGATTTAAAACTAAAGAGATTCCGTTCTAATTTACTGCGGCGCACAACTTGATTTGTGACCCTTGATCGATCGCTTACTGATAAATAAGCAAGTGTCTACTTGTTTTATGTTGCAATCGCTTCAAAAATAGCATGCACAGATGTTCATAATTTTTTTGATTTGATAAACTTAAATTAATGTAAAGACAAGAACAACGGTGATATCCCTTTTTTCAATAACTTTTCAGAGAAATATATCCGACAAGTGTACAGACTTCTGGATCCGCTCCAGAGGAATTTTTATACAGTTATATTTTTTTCACAGCTGTCGGCGTGTAAATTCTCTGACAATTATACGAGTTTATTAGATAATGAATATGGACATGAAAAAGTGCATGTTTGTCACTTAAATCGAGTTATAAAAATTTACTATGTCAATGTATCGATAAATCAAAAAATAAATCCCAGATTTTTTTAGAAATTAAATTCCAACCCTCGGCTTTTATTAAGTGTGCGATACGTTTTTTTTTTCTCAGTACAAACAAAAACTGTAGCCAATCCTTTAACAGATTTAACATACTACTAAGGAAAAAAAGGAACAATGGAAACTTTTTTTCATTTTCTGGTTTCATTATCTAGTACATGTGTATTTCTAATATTAAATGAAAATCGTGGCCTTTATACGAGTGCAAAGTATTACATGTATTATTAAAAGAAATAAGTGATCTCTCATAATTTTATTTTCAGATTGCAAGTTCAATATCAGTTATGTGATCATAATTAAAAGATGTATTTAAAATCATATTTTTTTTTTCATGATTTAAAATCATGTATATTCTAATGAGTTAGAGTTAAATTCGTGCGAACTATGCTTTTTATGTTTGCTGGAGCGAGGATGGAAATGAAAATACCGCCTGTATGATGGTCCAAATCTACATGTATGTCATGTCGAGTCGGGCTACCCGATCCAAGTGTGATATCATTTACCGCCAATACTTTGAAAGCCATCCAATATATGGTGGTAAATGTTTGTAAAATTATTACATTTATTAGTAATGGTAATATTTATCAGGTGTGAGGACATCTATCATTTATGGGCAAGATTGTGAAACTAGAAAGAGGTACTATCATGACTTTTACACGTAAGTATGTATATCAGTGCCATCGGTTGCTTAGCACGTAGCAGTGGTATATAACCCACCTTTTCTTCACCAGTGTCACGAAGTCGCTGAGCATATATGAATTGTAATGCTTTCAAAACAAATGTAAATGAATGACTTTTATCATGATGATAAACTTTGTGTGCCGCATGAAAATTAGCAGAATTGCGTATCCCAATGTTAAAACGTTAATCCGCGGATTTTGACCCAGTGGAAATTAATAATATTACGGTGTTTTTCATGATATAAGGATGTTTTAACAATGCCAGCGTCTGGTTGATCAAATGCAAGAAAGAAATAATGAAAATGCCATTTTCAACCTGTGTACCAGGTAAGACTGAAATGTAAATCATGTTATTTCAGAGAGAGAGAGAGAGAGAGAGGTGTTCATTATCAATTAATTACATAAAAAGGTTTAATGGAAACCGGGTCAGTTTATTTTTCACAAAACCTGGATGAAAAAGCAAAAATTTACCTTGACAATTTGTATAAAATCACTTTTTAATGCTAATAAAGTTATGTCGATTAAATCGTATAGACGATTTAAAGCAATCCGATTCTATACATAACTTGTTTAGTCATGATTTTTTCCCAACTCGTTAACAAAAAAATGAATCACGTCAAGGAGTTTGGTTACCGTTCAGGTAAGATATACATTTCTACATTACTTTACTATAAAGCAATATTATTCTGCAATATTATTCTGTCAGAAATATTTTAATTAAAAGATATCATGGAAAGATAATAATACCTCCAATTCAATTATCAACTCGTTTTCATTACAATTATGTTTAGTATGTACATTTGCATTTACTACAGTAAAGCACGCTTATAGCGAATACGCTTATAATGAATTGACGCCTTCAGCGAAGTGATTTTCATCCCCTGTGATTTTAAAATAAATTGTAAACCTAACGGATCACGCTTATAAATCTGCAAAATCGTCCATCCTTGGCACTTCGTTATTCTGGCTGCTTACAAATATTCTGTTATATGATACATGTATAATTATGAAAAAGCTTGAGCAGGTAAGATTTTGAGATACATTTGATTACATTAGATTTTTTTCATCCATATTTCAAGAGGTTGTTAGTTATAGAAGATGGAATGTAATCTTAATTTTTTCTGTTAACCTACTTTTCTTTCCAAAAATATCTTCAACAAATATTTCGGAAATTGTGTAATGCAATGTCCTACTACAGATAAAAAAAAAAAGGTTTAATCTCAAATTCCAACTTCAAAGGATTCGTCAGTGCTTTATATCAGATCTTAATTTCTTCTACATTTTTGTATTTCATATATATATATATATATATATATATATATATATATATATATATATATATATATATATATATATATATATATATATATATATATATATATATACAGTGCAGGGAACTAATTTTGTTACATAAACCAGCATCAGCATAAGCATTAGTAGCATCAGGATCGAGCAAGCATCAGCATCAGCTTTGAAAAAACAGCATTACCAGGATCAGCATCAGCAAGCAAAGGATAAAACCAGCATTGACCTACATAAAATCAGCATTACCCTACTAGCATCAGAAAATCAATGAGTTTTAATTTAGTAAACAAATTAAAAAAGAAAGAAAGAATATTGGTTAAGGTTTTCACATTATTGATCCGTAGTGAGATATTATGATCAAACAATTGTAAAAGGCACTTTTATTGCTTTAAACGGCAATGCTGAAATTCATTATCTTCTTCCGGTAGCATGATGCTACTTCCGGTAGCATTGACCTAATTATAAAACAGCATCAGGATAAGGATTACTAGCATTAAATCAGCAAGCAAAGGAAGCATTCAAATCAACAAGCAAAGGAAGCATTCAAATCAGCATCGATGCTGTAACAAAATTAGTTTCCTGCACTGTATATATTGTATCTGGATATAAGAAAATGACGCAGAGAATTTGTAATTTTCGATATTAAATGTATCCTTCTCTTCTTTCTTTTTACAGCAGAGTTCAGGTTTGTATATATAGATATATATATATATATATATATATATATATATATATATATATATATATATATATATATATATATATATATATTGACATTTAGGTTAATTTATTAACACAGTGTACAATTTGGAATATGTATATGACTTTGACCAGCATGTTGTCTGTCTGTCTATATTCCTGTATTCATTTCAAGCACCGTTTGTATATTGGGTACATGTATATGTTGATATTTTATTATGCCCATCTTTTATGTTCCTTTTAACATTTTCGAGGCAGGTAAATGTGAGACCCACTTCTGCTGTGATTGGTTGGAGAAAATGCAGACAAACATGTATTAAATTTCCACAGAATAAATTTTGATGTTCATCGATAATTGTACGACTTACCTGTAAGTCTACATTTTTTAAGGATTTTTTTTAAATAATTATACTCATCTGACGTGATTCCAGAGTGCCCATAACTGTTCCAAATTAATATGTTAAAGGTCTTTGCTTTGAAAAATGTGTATGATTTTATTTCAAAGTTGGCAACAAGGCTATTGACTGGAAATGATTTTCAAATAAAATTTCCGGAAAAATGTCATTGTGATAGTACAGTTTATCTAAGAGCAAATTTTTATTTGAATTTAAATGTTCCTTTAAAGTATATATTATATCAGTTTTATTATTACATTTAATATACACAATGCATTTCATACACCTGTCGTTTTCCAATGTACATTTTCTTACGTCTTTATTCGGATATCTCTATTTGCATGGACATCTCCATCTGCATGAGGTCCTTTGCATGATATTTCTTGATTTGACTAGCGTCTAAACATATGATCAATTCCATAAAACAAAATTAAACACATATTCTTGTGACCAAAATATGTCTAGGCTCAGTTGTTGTTTTTCACTAGATAATTATGCAAAGTTCTTCTTTTTTTTTTTTTTGGAATGAGATCTTTTGAATGTCCCTGCGATTTCAAGAAATCCCCCCATATATATATATATATATATATATATATATATATATATATATATATATATATATATATATATATATATATATATATATATATGTACAATTTAAAAACCAAGATTCACAAGATTCGAATTATCATTTTTACTGCAAGCGCTTTTTGTCTTTCCATGTTTTTCACTGGATATATCAGTATTATATATATATATATATATATATATATATATATATATATATATATATATATATATATATATACATATATATATATACATATATATATATATATATATATATATATATATATATATATATATATATATAAAGAGGAGAGAGAGAGCAATGAAAAGTCTTTTTATTCTCTATGTCAACAGAAAATGTGTTGATACAGTGTGCCGATGATCGAAAGGCATGACAAGCCAAGGTAAATTGTGTTGTGTTTTCAATTTTTTATGCAATATGATATTCACAAAAATATGGTGAATGAAATAAAATTATTCTCTTTTTGTTTAGTACCTTAGTGTTACCAACTCAATTTAGATTTCACTGTTTTGAATTCCCATTGGTCAGACCGGTTCCTTGACACCATAATCCAGTGTTCCGTCCCTTGATGCCACCATATAAATTAACAGCAAAATCATTGATTTCATAGGTCTATTACCCGGAAAATCAGTGTAGAGTAGATAAGGTCATCAGCCTTACCTGGAATCTGGACTTAGAAACACATCAAGTATTTTTTTTTTAAATATTTATTTCTCCATTTTAACTGATGTGTGTTAGGTTCGTTTTACCGGGAGTTGTTATTAGCATGTTTTCTGTTCCTAGGATCTTTGCCTCTCTGCGCCACTGAAATTTCTTCTTGTGCAGAGCGCTAAATCTTATCTGGAAATACAAGCTTCAGGTACCAAATTTTTACTTTTTTAGCTTTGATGAAATTCAGCAAGTTTAAAATCTGTCAAATATATCTGGGGAATATCAACATAGATGTCCGGGATTGTACTATGGCGACATAGAAGAAACATCTTTAAGCATCTATATATATTTGTGCATATAATCTACTTCTATCAATAGGATTTATCCTTGATATTTTTATACACGTAATTGTTGTTAAAGTTTATAAATAATGATAAGTTTACTTTCTTGAAAGATTTAGCATTTTGTTTTAATTCTGTTTTTAAAATATCCATTTTCTAAAGGTGTACACGAGAGCACTACTGGGAGAGTGACCAGCGGATCCTGGAATACTAGGATACACAAACATAACCCTCGACAATATCTAGAAGAACTAGTATTAATTGTAACGGGGACCGTTACAGATGTTCCCCAAACGCTCCCCAACTCCCTTTTGGTGTCTTATTTCCTGTAAGCTTCATTAAATAAGGCAATTAAGTATATTGGTCATATAACGCATTTCACGCGCGCGCACGTGCATTCATGTGCAGGTTGACCATGTCATTCCGTCTATACTATAAATGCATCTTTATATTCTCAGTATCAAAACATTTCATCAAAAAATATATAAGTTCCGGCTATATCAAGTATATTGGTCATCTTAGCATTGCGCGCACGCGCACCTGTATGCATGTTCATAATGACCATGCCATTTTGTCTACACTTATAATATGTCTGTTTATTTTTAGTATCAAAGCTTTTCATCAAAAAATATAAAAGTTACGGCTATATTAAGTATATTGGTCATTAAACACATTGCACGCGCGCGCATGTGCATGCATGTGCATGATGGCCACATAATCCTGTCTACACTTTTAATATATCTGTATATTCTTAATATCAAAGCTTTTCATCAAAAAATATAAAAAGTACGGCTATATTAAGTAAATTGGTCATTTAACACATTGCACGCGCGCGCACGTGCATGCATATGCATGCATGTGCATGATGATCATGTCGTCTTGTCTACACTTTAAATACATATAAATATTTTGAGTATCAAAGCATTTCATCAAAAAATTTCAAAGTTACGACTATATCAAGTAATTTGGTCATTTTACGCTTTGCGCGTGCGCGCACGTGCATGCATGTGCATGTTGACCATGTCATCTTGTTCATACTTTTAATATATCCTTATATTCTGAGTATCAAAGCATTTTATCAAAAAATATAAAAGTTACAGCTATATCAAGTATATTGGTCATTTTACGCATTGCACGCGCACGCACGTGCATGCGCGTGCGCGCAAAATGACCTTCGTTCCGCAAATCTACATAACATGCCTAGTAACCCTAAAAAGGTTTCACCTCAATCGGATGTGTAGTTTCGGAGATCACTCACGGACAAAAAAGTACCCAGGAAGAAAAATAATAATAATAATAATAATAAGAAACAGAGTAAAAACAATATGTTCCCAAACTTCGTTTGGGGAACATAATTAGGATGCATAACATTACCACCAGTACCTTCTCTATCCCTACCCCGTCCTCTGTCATGATCTATTGTGATTATCTGGTGTTCGGACATTTAACATTTATTTTCTGTGATTGAGTCAGTTTATTATTTATTTATATTTTGGTTCATTTTTTTTACTTCATTTTTCGGTAGTTTACTTTTTGAGTTGTTTTTCTACAAATGTTGACTTTTTTGTTATTTTTGGTTTATGTTAGCTCAATCATAGTGTATAACACACTTCCTCACACATTTATAAAATTCGTTTTAGACATACATGTATATAAACATACATACACATACATATAAACAAACCACAGCTGAAAGCTTGAATATACAATGTAATATTTTAGATGTATAAATGATTACGAAAGGTGATGAAAAATCATGACAGCACATATCTTTATATTTTTAAATATGCTTTAAAGAAAAGCTATCTTCTTTTAAACAAATGAATTTCACTGTTGAATGTATACAATTTGTAACATAATGAGCGTATAAATTATGAATTTTAATTGATATATTAATTTGTACAGTGCATTTATATGTTTAAATATTGTGTTATGAATTATAATTAATACTATCAGTGTGTAGAGCGACGGACAATGTCTACTTAATTATGAACTTGTTAACAAACTCTGGGAGATTGGACACAATAAGATTGATTGATTGATTGATTGAATGTTACTTTACGTCCCATTTGAGAATCTTTCACTCATATAGGGACGTCACCATATACCGGTGAAGGGCTTCAAATTTTGACCTTTACTCGGCACTCAAGGTCATTAAGCAGTGAGGGATCCTTATCGTGCCAACGCCCGCCGTGACACGGGGCCTCGGTTTTTAAGGTCTCATCCGAAGGACCCGCAAGTTTCACTTCAAAGTGCCGAGCGCATGGCGAAGGAACAGTTGCTACCCATTTTTTATCGACTTAGGTCAGTCGCGGCCGAGATTCGAACTTACGATCTCCCGATCACAGAGCGAGCGCTCTACCGACTGAGCTACCGTGAACGGTGGATACAATAAGAAGGGAGTCTTCATATGACAGAGAATTAGTTTTTACTATATGTTATTCTCGAACATTGACACTTTCCAATCAGACTTTGTGCAAAGCTGCAACCATCTAATTAACTGGAGAATGTGCAAGATACACAATGTTAATGTAAACAGTGGACATTGCCGTATCCTATCATATCCTAGACAGATCTTCAGTGAGGGGCGAACTATATCAATGTTAATTAAGTGACACTGTAATTTACTGATTGTTATTTCCAAATATGTGATCCCTATAATGCAGCTTTTTGTACAAAAGATGTGCGCACTGAGTACCAATAGTTTTTAACATCTTAGCTCTAAGACTGACTATGTGAGCTTTTAACATCTTAGCTCCTATACGAACTATGAGAACTTTTTACGATCTTTTTTTTTTAATATTATTTTTTTTTTTTTTTTTTTTTTTTTTTTTTTTTTTTTTAAATTTTATTTACATTATCCATTGTATACATGTCAATATATAGTTACATATAAATATCTACAAGGCAGTATACAAAGGATTTTTTACACACGCAAACATTCATACATCCACTCGCACATATCGGATTGAACTGGAATTATACAGAAGGAGATTGAAGGTTGCGTTAAAAAGAATTCACTATATCAATTATTCACCAATAATAAAATGCAGTTATCAAAAACAGATATAAAACATTCAATAATATTCAATAGATTAATTGGCTTTAAACAAAAACAAAAACATGTCAACTGGGTTCAAACATTATTTTCCATAAGTCCCATTTTTTATCAAAAGTTGACAGTTTAGAGTTATAAATTGATACAGATCTCTCAATGTTATATTTCATTTTCAAATGATTTATTAGACCAAGAAGGTTTGGCTTTTTACACTGTAATGAGCAAGTAAAAATATACTGCTTTGTGTATAATATAACAAAGTTTATAATTAAGTTATCTTTAGTGAGTGGTATTTCACCCAAAATAATATTTTTGATATTAAAACCAATTCTTTTAGCAGTTGTTCTATAGATATACATACTCAAATTTCTCCATAAGTCCACTATGTCATTACAAGTTACAAATACATGTTGAATAGTTTCAATATCCTCCTTACAAAATTTGCATGAATCAGATGTTTTAATGTTAATTTTTTTGAGATAGTAGCCAACAGGAAGAATTCTATGAAGAAGTCGGTATTGAAACCACTGTACAGAAGAATCATTTGTAGTCTTGAAACACACTCGAAAAACATCTTGTGTGCATATATCATTCAATCCATGAGGGAACAACTCTAAATTCCACTTTGAAATTGCTGTAGGCTTTGTACAATTTTTGTTTATGACATTGTAAATAATTTTTGAACATTTTGCATTTAACAAAATATATTCAAAATAAAATGGTAAATAAGGCAGACAACTTTTCTTCATTTTTGTTCTCTTAATTGCCAGATTTTTTAAGCATTTTGCAATAGCACAAATAACACTATTGTACTGCATTACATTTAGAGAAGGAAGATGGAAATTTTGTTGAAAAGCAGACTTTGAAAGAAAAATACAATCTTCAGACATAAAATCTCCAACAGTTTTGACACCTTTTTGATACCAATTTTCTATAAAAATACTCTTATTTTCAATCTTTATGTTAGAATTGTACCATATTGGAATATTACAGGCTTTATTTTTCATATCCATGTCATGTTCCACTTTTTTCATAACATACTGCCAAGAACTAAAAACATCAGACCAAAATAAATTGTTTTTTGTCATTATGACATTAGAGATGTATTCGTCCCCAAAATCTAAAATCTGTTTTATAACATTATTTCCATTAACTGCTAAAAATATATCAAACCATGGTTTCTTTCCTGCAATCAACAGTCTTTGGACCCAAGTGCATTTCAAGGATTTTATAAAATTGTCAATATTTACCATTTTTAAACCTCCAGCTAGATAATCCTGAGTAGCTATAGTTCTTTTAACCTTATCACATTTTGATTTCCATACAAATTCAAAGATATCTTTATTTAATGAGGAAATTTTGTCGATGCTAGGTGCAGGAAGAGAAATAAATAAATGATTCAGTTTTGGTAAAATTAGGGTTTTTATAACAGTGACTCGACCAATGGGCGTTAGTATTCGTCGATTCCACTGTTGAATCAGAGATTTTATTTTGGGTAGAATTATATTATAATTTGTGTCTGTAATTGTTTCTAAATCAACAGAAAAATTAATGCCCAACAAGGAGAAAGTTGTTGATCCCCAATCTAACTTCCATCTTGGATGGTGAAAAACTTGGTTTGAAAATTTTTTTGAGCCAATCCATATAATTTTTGTTTTAGTACTATTTATTTTTAACCCAGATAACCGTGAAAAAAAATCCAAGGTATCAAGAGCAGCAAAAAGTGATTTTGGTGAACCATCAAGGGCGAGCGAAGTGTCATCAGCATACTGGGAAATTTTGTGTTCTTTGTCCTGAATAATAATGCCTTTAATGTCTTTATTTTGTTTTACAAGAATAGCAAGGATTTCAGCACAGAGGAGAAATAAATAAGGTGCAACAGGATCTCCCTGTCTACAACCTCTCTGAATATGTATTTGTTCAGATACGATCTTAGCTCTGAGACCTTTGTGATGCATTGACTATGAGAGCTTTCACCATCTTGGCTCCGAGATCTACAGCCATTGAACTTTTTATGTACCATTGTTTTGACTTTGCTGTGACATTATAATAAAACTATAAACTTAAAAAAGTCTTCTTAATCCAAACACTTGAAGTTATTGTGTTATAAATTTTCTAATGTAAGCTTTAAATAACATCCTGGATTGATATGTTTTGATTTTTCCTTGATTGTTTCAAAACTTTTTTTCACAAGCAATATTAAAAAATAAAAGATTTTGTCTTCTTCAGGAAGACTAAGTATAACTTTACATG